CTTTTTGCTATCTGCATAAAACCAGGGAGGAAGAAAAACAAAATTTAAAGAATTAACTAAATAACTTCATTTTACTTTCAAGGGCTTGAAATTTATACAAAGACTGAAAAATTAACAGTATCGATGGTAACTGGAATTTATTTCATTTTTGGAGAATTGAATGAAAAAGTCAATGAAGAATAACACATATTTTTGATTTCCAGAGGAAAAAATAGAGTTTTCCAGAGAGAAACTGACTTTGTTTTGTGATGACATGATTTCACATAATCATGATCTGTAGCTATTTATAAAAAATGTTTTTCTTTTTTTAAATTTTATTTTAAAATGTTTTTATTTTTAATATTATGGTACATAATAGTTGTATGTATATATAGGGTGTGTGTGATGTTTTGATACTGGCATACAATGTAAATTAATCAAATCAGGGTAATTGGAATATCTATCACCTCAGGCATTTAACATTTCTTTGTGTTAGGAACATTCCAATCCCACTCTTTTAGTTATTTTAAAGTATACCATAGCTTATTGTTGATTATAGTCACTTTGCTATGCTATCAAATATTGTTCATTCTAACTATATTTTTGTACCCATTAACCATCCCCACTTTATCCTCCCCTCCCCACTACTGTTCCCAGCCCTCTGGTAACCACTACTCTCCTCTCTGTCTCAATGAGATCAGTTGTTTTTAATATTTAGCTCCTGCACATGAATGAGAACATGCAAGATTTATCTTTCTGTGCTTGGTTTATTTCACTTAACATAATGTGCTCCGGTTCCATCTATGCTGATGCGAACGTCAGGATTTCATTCTTTCTGTGGCTATATAATATTACATTGTGTACATGTACTACCATTTCTTTATCCATTCATCCATTGTTGGACACTTAGGTTGATTCCAAATCTAGGCTATTGCGAATAGTGCTGCAATAAATATGGGAGTGCAGATATTTTGCTAATATACCGAATCTCCTTCTCTTGGGTATATACCTAGCGGTGAGATTGCTGGGTCATATGGTAGTTCTATTTTTAGTTTTTTGAGGAACCTCCATACCATTCTCCACAGCGGCTGCAACAATTTACATTCCCACCAACAGTATATGAGAGTTCCCCTTTTTCTACACCCTCTCCAGCTTTCATTATTGCCTGTCTTTTTGATAAAAGCCATTTTAACTGGGGTGAGATGATATCTCATTGTAGTTTTGATTTGCATTTCTATGATGACTAATGATATTGAAAATTTTTTCATATACCTGTTGGCTATTTGTATGTCTTCTTTTAAGAAATGTCTATTCAGGTCCTTTGCCCATTTTTTTTTTCTTTGCTCATTTTTTAATTGGATTATTTGATTTTTTCCTATTGAGCTGTTGGACCCCCTTATATATTCTAGATATTAATCTCTTGTCAGATGGGTAGTTTGAAAATATTTTCTCCCATTCTGTGGGTTGTCACTTCACTTTGTTGATTGTTGCCTGTGCTGTGCAGAAGATTTTTAGCTTGGTGTGGTCTCATTTGTCCAATTTTGCTTTGGTTGCCTGTGCTTTGTAGGTATTACTCAAGAAGTCCTTGCCCAGACCAATGTCCTGAAGTGTTTCCCCAATGTTTTCTTTTACAAGTTTCATAGTTTCAGGTCTTAGATTTAAGTCTTTAATCCATTTTGATTTGATTTTTGTATATGTGAGAGGTAAGGGTTTAGTTTCATTCTTCTGCATATGGATATGCAGTTTTCCCAGTACCATTTATTAAAAAGACTATCCCTTGCCCACTGTATGTTCTTAGCACATTTGTCAAAGGATAAGTTCACTACAGATGAGTAGATTTACTTCTGGGTTCTCTAGACTGTTACATTGGTTTATGTGTCTGTTTTTATGCCAGTACCATGCTGTTTTGGTTATGACTGTAGTATAATTTGAAGTCAGATAATGTGATTCCTCCAGCTTTGTTTCTTTTGTTCAGAATGGCTTTGGCTATTTTGAGTCTTTTGTAATTCCATATAAATTTTAGGATTATTTACAGAAAATGATTTTGTAATTACTAATGCCATTCTCTGCTGCTCTTGAGATATGCTCCCCTCCTCCAACCCCCTGCTGTTTACATTGTAAAGACATTTTCCTTCTCAAAGAGTAAAGGTGGGATGAAGATTATTTGGATAGTAAACTATTCCATTTTTTAAAAAAGAACTACTAGTATGCATTTCTTGTAAAAATGTTAACTACAACTGATATACATCACCCCAAGAAAGTAAAAAAATTTAACTTGTTACTAAATGATACAAGGCATAAAGCTCCTTTTTAATTTCTATATTTGAGAAAAGAAATTGGGAAATAATTGTAAAATATTTTCTTTAAATACTTTAGTTACATAATATGAATAAATCTCACAGTCAGAATGTTTAGTAAAAGAAGTCAGACACATAAGAGTTTACATTGTATTACTATGATTCTATTTACAAGATGTTTGAAACCAGGAAAAATTATTTATGTGATATGTCATAGTAGTGATTACCCTTGGTAACAAAGAAATAACTAGGAGGGAGCATGAGGGAACCTTCCAGGTGCTTGGAAATGTTTAATAACTGGATCTGCGTGGTGGTTATATGAGTGTGTACATTCATAAAATTCATCAGGCTGCACAATTAAGAATGCTACCTCAACATTAACAAAACCCCTGTTAATTATAAAAATTAAAACAACAAATATAGTGCGTAAAATTACATTTATAATCAAGGACGGGACTAGAGAGCATGACCTGTTGCAACTTTCCCCTCTAACTATATGACTCTTCAAATTGCCAAAACTGTCTGTTTAGAACATCTAAAGTCAAAATAATTTTAAATAAAAGTAAAGGAGTAAGTTTACTACAAGTGTTTTATACATTTGTCCAATAACCTACATTATTCATTTTAAGAACGCTAGATATTAAATTTAATTTCATGTTTTATAGTTTGTTTCCAGAAAACACATGGAGTAATTTTATCTAGTTCAAACACATTCAACTTGAAAGACCTGTTAATTCTAGCCTATGAATGGAGGGCGAGATGTAGCATGTCAAAGACAACCGATACACCCTCGTTTTTTTTTTTTTTGAGAAAGAGTCTTGCTCTTTCGCTCTGGCTAGAGTGTAGTGTCATCATCATAGCTCACTGCAACCTCAAACTCCTTGGCTCAAGGGATCTTCCTCCTGCCTCAGCCTCTCGGGTAGGTGGGACTACAGGCGCGCTCCATGCCCGGCTAATTTTTTCTATTTTTGGTAGAGACGGGGGTCTCACTTTTGCTCAGGCTGGTCTTGAAGTCCTGAACTCAAGGGATCCTCCCGCCTTGGCCTCCCAGAGTGCTAGGATTATAGGTGCGAGCCACTGCCCCTGGCTTGATATACCCTCTTAATCAACAAAATTATGATTATAGATAATTAGAAAAGACCTAGTCCATTTATATTAGTCATTAGCCACTGTATCATACAAAATTACATGAAAATACACAATTACAGAAGAAGACAGACAAAAACATAATCATAGTCAGTGATTTTAAGTATCCCTAAGAATTTGACAGATCAAGCATACATAATATCCTTATTACTAATAAGGATATAAAAATTTTGAAAGTACAAACATTAACAAGCTTAAGCTATAGCCTAGAAATAGAAAATACACATTCTTTTCAAATCACCACAGAATATTTACAAAGACAGACCATGTGTAAGATCGCAAGAAAATCTCAAAAAATTCTAGGAAGTAATTATACAGATTGCATGTTTTAACAACCACAAGGCAATAAAACTAAGAAACTTAGAACAAAAGGAGAACCACTTATCATCAGCTCCAACATCTAAATGTTTGGAATTGCATGATTCTTAAAAGTTTTACATAGCTCCTCCTCTAAAAAGAAACTCATTTGGGAAGATGGTGTCTTTCAACTTAGATATCATTATTCTGTGAATAATAACCACAACAAGTTTGTTTGAAAACATGTTTAAAACCTTAAATTTCTGGGAGGCTTAAAAAGATAAGAAATAGATAATTTTATTGACCTTTGTTCAAAATCCCCCAACAGAAATGCTTATTTCTAGCCTTCTCTTATGGAAATGTCAACAGCATGCTTGCACTTATATAGTGAAAAAGACAAAGGATCAACATACAAGTTCAAGAGGATGGGCAGTGATCTTGCCATTAGTATAATAAAAAGAGGTATTCTCTCTCCCTCCTCTGAACATCTGTAGTACCTCTTGTCTCTGGCACTCATCTGGCACACTGTTTTGAAGTGGTAAACTTTGCACACACATCTGTCTTATCTGAATAAATCCCTTAAGGGCAACAGTGACACCTACTTATTGGGATCTTCTATACAATATCTCACAAGTAGGAGAAGTTTCTTAAATATTAATTGACTGACTATTATTAATTAACTGAGTAATGCCACCAACATATCTTTCCTTCAACAACACCTTTGGAGCATGGCTACCTGCTCTATACTCTTGAGTGCCCGTATTTTTGAATTTTCTGAAATTTTTCTGAAAAATTAAAGTGAAGCAAATAAAGCAACAGGGCTTATTTAAAATAGCCAGACTTTTGGTAAATGATATTAGATAAAATGAATAAATTTTCTTTAGATTAATCCTAACTGTAATCAAAGATCTTCAAACATCGAGGTTATAGCAAAAATGGCTGAACCTCAATACTGCTTTGTTCAAATTCCTGTCCCTGAACCTGAAAACAACATCAGCAACAACAAAGCTCTACCATTTGTCCCCAAAATACTCTTCCCCTATTCTCTTCACCTTCCTGTACTCAGTCAGTGATTAATCTTACATCTTTCCAGAAGGTTCCCAGGGCTCCAGGTCTTTAGCAATTCTATCCTATAAATGGTTCTCAAACTTTAGCATGCACCAGAATGTCCTTGAGGGCTTGTTAAAACAAAGGCACAGGAATGCTGAACAAAAATCTGATCTCTGACCCTATATCTGTTTTTTAGTTACCCAATACTCAAAATAAAAAAACCCAACTTACCTTTTCTGAATAATTCTTGGAGACTTTCAGCACTTTGATTTAGTACAGCCCATATTTCTTCCTCCTGCAGTGGTCCACCCCGAACCTCCAGGGCCTCAGCTAGTGACACGTGCATATTACCTGGGAAACAAAAATAATAGATGGTCTAAGCATTAGCAACTTAACTGTGCTTGCAGTGGTAAAAGCTCTACATCACGGAGACATTATGGGCCCCCTGTCAATCTAATTTCTCAATATGGCATTTGATCTAAACATCATCTGGCAGTCATAAACTCATAGAAGGTAAAGGAATTGGAGGACACAAACTCTCAAAACAATCACTTGTCCTAGTCAACTTCAGCGACAGAAATGGAAAATAGTGGTGGTGACTACTTCATGGGAGAAGACAGAAACCCCAGGATACCAGAAGGCACCGAAATGCAGATGATTAAACCAAAGCAGTCAGACTGAATGGAGGCCTTTCAAATTTCAGTTCCAGGTTTCATCCTATTCATCCCAGATACAAAGAGTAGAGGAGACCCTATGGTAGGAGAAGTTGGAAATAATATGGAACACATTTCTTCCTTCCATTCACTAATTGATTTCTATTATCTCTAATAAATATACTATAACTATAAATTTTACGCTGAATGGAATTAACTATTTCTAGACTCTGTTTTGCTGCCAACTGGCCCTTTCCACTGGGAGTCATTTTACCTCTAAATCTCAGAGGGAGAGATGGGAATAATAATAACAATACAAATGCCATTTTGGGGTGGCTATGCCAAAGAAAGAGGTTATATCTGTGAACATGCTTTGTAATGAAGATTCTACAGAAGTTGAACAAAAGATCATAAAAGTGTCTCTGGTGATATTTTTGTAGTGTCAATTTTTCAAATGGCATTCAATTAAGTAGGTGATATTCTGATAAAACTTAAGATTTTCTATGGGGCTCAATAATCCTATTTTTATGTTAGAAGAGGAAAATGCAGCTAGTCAAAATCCTCCTATATATATTTTCCTGAATTAACATTCCTTAAAAAGAAAATTGTTCTTTACAGTGATTACTAAGATTTCCACCCAAACAAACCAATTTAAGTGTAATGTGTAGTGTGTATCTATTGGTAGGCAGAAGCTGATGGATTTGGAAAAGAAGCTAGAGGGAGTTGAAAATGTTAAATACTTATTTTCTGTAATTAAGTCCCTCATTAAATTTTAAAATTAACCTATAAAAACATCTGTTTTAGACAAAAGCTGATTTTGTTTACTCGACTAACAAGAAATGCTACTATTTTCTTCTAATTTACATTTATGATAAAAAATCCAGATTGGAAAAAAAGCAATTCCAGCTATAAGTGAGAGCAGACTTATTCTTTTCACCTTCCTTTCCAAATGTTTGCTAAAACATTTTAGGCTTAAAGTGTGCCGCTGAGTGGTGTCTACTTATGTGTACGATGTGGTAGTTAAAAGTGAAGATATCAGCTACTGCTTTGAAACAGCCAAAAGGGTTTTTATTTAGCATGTACAAGAAGTACATTTATTTAGATCCCCAGTCCACACCAAAAATTTCTAGGTTCTCAAGTACTTTACTATACACTAGCACATTTACTCAAGGGAAAAACAGAAGCTTCATTCCTAAGAGATATTTGAGTTATTATCTTTTACATGAAACATACCAATAACAGAGATGCCTCTGCTGGAAGTTTCAACGGAGGCATCAAGATACTATTAGCAATCAGATACCAGCGTGACTTGTGAGAAAGACTACCCTGTAGTAAATTTCCCAAGCAGTATGTCTGAGAACCGGTTGGATAGCTCTAAAGCCTACACACAGTGTAAAGAGCACGGAGGATTGCGCAAGAACAATTTCTTTGAAGAGAGTTGTGCTGATTTTCATGTCTCCTCAAAGTGGCAAGGGTGTGGGAAAGGTGCCTTCCTTTCGTCTCAAGAAGCTTCAGTGGGACTCCTTGGAGTACTTGGTATTTGTTCCCTGGAGTTTCGGGGGACACAGCAGAAGGGACCTGATGCACACTTTAGCGTCCTAACGACTTTGGCCGTCGCCCTGAGGCAGCGGCAAGAGGAAGCGGGGAGAGGGCACCCAGAGTGAAGGAGCATCCTGTATCAGGAGCCAGCTACGCTGCCGCAGGTTGGGGGAGGACAGAAACAAGGAAGCAGGAACGCACAGAGGGCCAGCCTGAAGCTAGATAAAATCCTGCCGAGTATGAAAATGTCCTAAAATTTAGATAGCGGCAATGGCTGCACAACTCTGTATGTACTAAAAACCACTAAAGGTACACTGTAAAAGCATGGATTTTATGGTATGTGAATTACATCTCAAAAAGCTGTTAAAAAAAAAAAATCCTACCCAGAGCACCACCAAGAAGAAGAGACTCTCTCTGTTGTCGCGGCCGCCAACGTGCCGCCCAGACCGAGGAGGAGCCGGAAGCTTTGGGGCCACGGAAGCCAAGGCACCGGAAGCACCCGCAGGCCGGGGTTATGCTGGTGGCATCATCACCACAGGGCCAACTTCTACAAATATCACCCAGGTTACTCTGGGAAACTCGCTATGAGGCATCGCCACTGAGGAATAAGAGCTTCTGCCCAGCTGTCAACCTTGATAAATTGTGGCTATTGGTCAGTGAACAGACACCGGTAAATGCCTCCGAAAACGAGACTGGAGCTGCTCCCATCACTGATGTGGTGGATCCAGCTGCCACGAAGTTCTGGGGAAGGGAAAGCTCCCAAAGCAGCCGGTCATCGTGAAGGCCAAATTCTTCAACAGAACAGCAAAGGAGAAGATTAAGTGTTTGGGGTGGCTGTGTCCTGGTGGCTTGAAGCCACATGAAGGGAGTTTCATTAAATGCTAACGAATGCTGAGGAAGAAGGAGGAGGAGGAGAAGAAGGAAGAGGAGGAGGGAGGAAGAGGGAGGAGGAGGAGGAGAGGAGGGGGAGGTGGAGCAAGAAGAGGAAGAAGGAAGAATTAGATTATTGCTACTGTGGAAATGGCCTGAGAGAAAAGCAGGCCGAGGGCTAGAAGGGTTAGGGGATACCGGCTGGTAGGAAGAAAAATTTTTCTGGAGTGTCACACACATGTAGTATAGTTCCAGTGAAGGACTGAAAAACCAACAAAAGTATACACAACAGCCTCAAACACATAGCAAGTTCACAAAGAGTGAAAGCTGTGAAATCATTTTATAACAGGAGTCTGGTAAAAACAAAAAACAAAACAAAACCCTGTTTGCCTTGCTACCTCTCTCTTCCTTCCCTCAGTTTAGGTCCTGATGGAGTAAGATACAGCAGGTTGCCAGTGGGTGAAGAGATAAGCAACAAAAAGAGAAGCTAAACACACCTATAGCTAATCTTAGCTAGGGAAGGAGAAAGTTTTAGCTCTGAATGGAGATTTGTTTTTCAAAGTTATCATTGAGCTAGCAGAATAGACTTAATATTTTTAATTTATGGCTCTGCTAGAGAATTCTAAGATTTTTTAAAAACTGCCTTACCCTGATCACCCAATTTCAGGACTTAATGTAGTCTTACAGCAGCTTTCTAAAAAAGAAAAATAAAACTATAAGCTTATAAATTGCCAACAATCACCATCTTTCTCTCTTAGTTATGTTTATTCACCTTTACTATAGCTCTTCAGATCATTATCTCTGAGGGAATGAAGGAAATGCAGAAGCTGAAAAAAAATGCAAAAAAGAAAAGAAAAGAAAAAAGAAAGTGGAGGGAAGAAAGCCTGAAGTCAACCAACAGAAGAGGAAAGAATTAGTTATTAAAAAAAGGTTAAAGTTTATTGCTTCAATTGTTTCCTTTAGACTCAGTACTAGATAACTTGGGGTACAGACAGGACTAGCACTATTTTACTATCACAAGGGTTGTGCTTTGCAATAAACATAACCATATTATGTATTTTTATTCCCTGGAAAGTTATGTGCTACATGATAACCAGAATGTTTTGGGGAAGAATTTCAAATAAGAAAAATTAATTATATTACATAACCAGAATCATTGTGTTTTTTGTTAACACAGGTATTATTGGCATGACCTTAAAACTGCCCAGAGAATCAGACAAAGCCACAAAGGGATTCTAAGAGATGTCATTGTAATCCTGCAGGACAGCAGCACTCACAGATAGGAAGCACATAAACGTGATTAAGAACAGAATGAAATAGTAAACAGATTAACTGAATCCAATCGATTAATACAATAACCTGTCTGGGAGCAGACTAAATAGGAATGCTTGACTTGAATTTAAGGAAACAGGGGTGTAAAAGCACCTTGTTTCAAGAACGGAGCAGCTATAAAATAGAGCTCTGTGTGTGCCACTAGTTTTGAACAAGGATTCACTTAACATCCTGGCTGAGGACTTCTTTGGTCATTATGAGACCATAATAAGTTAAGAAGGCAACCTCTGCTTTTAATCCAGGAAAATTTAGAATTAAGTATAGAAAGAAGCAAGCCTGTGTATTAGTATTTGTTAAAGAATCTATACTAATATGGTATTTTAGCTAAGAGAAATAAGTCAGTTAATCAGCCTTGTGATTCCAATTTAAATAGCGTAATGAGAAATGGTTGAGACTTACATTTTAAAATATAGGAGTTTGAGGCTGCAGTGAGCTATGATGACGGCACTGCACTGCAGCCTGGGTGACAGAACGAGACCTTGTCTCAAAAAATAAAATAAAATGTATGGAATGACACAGGAACATACAAGAGAACTTAACGTCTTGCTAGACATAAGTCTTATAAGTCTTCCTTCATTAGAACTATGGTCACCAACCCCTGGGCCACAGACTTGGCAGACCAGTACAGGTCCATGGCCTGTTAGGAATCCAGCTACACAGCAGGAGGTGAGAGGTGGGCAAGCAAGCAAGCTTCACCTGTATTTACAGCCGCTCCGCATTTTATCACCACCTGAACTCCACCTCCTGTCAAATCAGCAGCAGCATTAGATTTTCATAGGAGGGTGAGCCCTACTGCAAACTGTGCATGCAAGAGATCTAGGTTGCATGCTCCCTATAAGAATTTGTCTAAAACCATCCCCTCCACACCCACCCACCATCTGCGAGCACCCACCCACCATCTGCGGAAAAATTGTCTTCCATGAAACCAATCCTTGGTGCCAAAAAGGTTGGGGATTG